TTGGATGTATTTTCTTTTTTATTTTTATTTATTTTATTTTTTGGCTAGGCAGTGGAGTTAAGTGACTTGCCCAGGGTCACACAGCTAGTAAGTGTTATGTATGTGTCTGAGGTCAGATTTGAACTCAGGTCCTCCTGAATCCAGGGCTAGTGCTCTATCCATTGCGCCACCTAGCTGCCCCCAATTGGATATATTTTCAAAGGGAAGAATGATAATTGCCAAGTTTGGATGAGGGGGAGGGGAATTAGAGGAAGAGAGACCTTGTAAAATCTCCATTACATAACTCCCAATGACCATTCACTAAGTTAAAAAAAGGGTTGAAGTAAGCCTTGTGGAGGGGTACTCACACTAATGAAATCACAAATCCAAGGTGGTTTCTTGATTAAATTATTTTTAGTTTACTGTTATTATCTTAAGTCATATATGACTAGAAAAGGAAATGGATTGATCATATGGCTAGACCAAGGGAAAAGGAGAGAGAATTGCACTCATAACCACAATGTTAAAAGACTAAGGTAAGGCTTCCAGCATGTTGGATAGAGCCCCTAGAAGAAGACAGTAGTTCAGAGTGGATCCCAGAAAGGAATATGGAAGAATTAGGTTCTGTGCCCACCAAGACCAGCCATACGCTCAAGACCCAGTCACTCTCTAGCAGCTCATGGTGTCAGAATCAGAACTCAGCAGTGACCATGTGCAGGTGACCTCTCCTTGGCTAGGCTATAGAAGTAACAATAGCTCACACTTACAGGGTGCCTTTAGATTTGCAAACAAAACAAAACAAAACAAAAAACCCTTACGTACATTAACTCATTTAATTCTCTGGTGACACAGGTGCTATTAATTATTATCCCTATTTGAAGAGGAAGAAACTGAGGCTTAGAGAGATTACATAAAAAGAGACAAATGAGAAGATACCTACGCTATCCTTTGTAAATTGTAAAGTGCTGTACAGATAATAAAAGCTAGCATTTACATAGCTCTTTAAGATTTGCAAATTGCTTTGCAAATATCATCTCATTCGATCCTCATAGCAACTTATTTTACAGGTGAGGAAACTGAGGCTGGGAATGGTTAAATGACTTGCCTAGAGTCACACAGCTGATAAGTGCCTGAGGCAGGATTTGAATCAGTTCTTTCTGACTCCAGGTCCAGCACTCCAGGCATGGTGCCACCTAGCTGTTCCCAACTATTGTTAATATATGCACAAACCCATTTCTGGATTCCAGGGCAATCTCTTGGAAAGTACTTTCTGTCTCTCTCTCTCTCTCCCCCCACTCTCCTCTCTCCTGTCTCCTTCTCTTTCTCTCTCTTCTTCTTCTTCTTCTCCTTCTTCTCTCTCCCTCTCTTTCCCACAGACACTACCCAAGCCACAAAAAACTTTCTTCCCCTAAACTAATGACAATGTGTCACAAGGTAGGGGAGATTTTGGAGAAGTCAGAGTCAGAACCACAAGTCACAGGCTTGGAAGTGGCTTGAGGTTGTTATTGGGATGACCGTCAGTGGAGGTTTTACCCTTACACAAGCGTGAAGGGTATGGAAAAGCTCTTTTCTGCTCCCTCCCCAGGCTAGGCAGGGCCATGGATGTTTGACCTTGCAAGGAAGTGGAAAGTTACAAGGTGATTTGGAAGCCCAGGAAAATCTCTCCTGCACTGATGCTTGACCTTCCATCTTTGGCTGTTAATTCATTTGAATAAACTAGTAAGCCATTGACACCAGAGTATGAATTAATTAGGCTTTTTTTAGTCCTGGACAAAAGGACACTAGACCTCTGCCCAGAAGAGAGACACGGGAAGAGAGAGGAAAAGTTACAAAAAAGAAGAAGTCAGTGAAGACAAATTTCTGTTACTCCACAGATTTGTCTATGGCTGCAGTTCGGAGGCAGCAGCGGCTAGAAAGGTTTCAAGTCCTACTCTGATCCTATTTGTATGAACTTTGGTAGATAACTTAACATCTTCGTGTTCCCAGCCATTTCTCTAAAACTAAAATTTAACCAAAAAGTTGCTATTCTTAGTGGATGGAGTTTCCACACCAGGAGTTGTTCATACCATTGAACATTTTTTTAGATCCTTCAACTATCAACTCTCCTCTGATCTTGCTAGCCAAATTTATATTCCACTCAACTCAGTTGGACAAATGTTTAAATGCCTACTGTGTGTGCCATGTAATGTGCTGGAGCTGGAGATAATAAGATAAATATCTCTCCCCTGGAAGAACAACATTCTAGTGGGATGTGAGGGGGCAAGAAGAATATAAGTCCAAAAGGAGGTAGAAAGGCACAGTAAAAAGTGGATTAAACTTAGAGGTTCAAATGCATGCATTCATTCATTCAATAAACATTTATTAAACTCCTATTATGTGCTAAGCACTGTGGATACAAAAAGAAGTAAAAAACAGTTTCTGCTCTCATGGAGCTTATAGTCTAATGGGGAGACAACATGCAAACAAATATATACAAAGCAAGCTATATCTAGGATAAATAGGAAATAATTAACAGAGGGAAGGCATGGAAAATCTGGGCTCTGCCACTTAATACCCATGTGACCTTGAGCAAGTCACTTAAGCTTTGTGTTCCTCAGTTTCCTCATCTGTAAAATAAGGAGTTTGAACTCGATGGCTTCTGAAGTCCCTTATAGCACTAGATCTAGGATCGTATGATACCAGCTAGAATGTGATAGGCACAAAGGAGAAATAGAGACGGAGGATTCTGGAAAAATTTGAGGGAGGAGAGTTCACTTTTGGTTGACCTCTTCCTCCTTAAGTTTGCGAACCAGAGGTCTCAGGGTCAATTATTCTTTCCCAATTCATTCTGCTGCCTTCCTTTATATGATTCCCCCCAGATTTGCCATGACATAGCAACATTCCCTCCTTACTCTATGTCTGGGGCTTCAACCACTCCATCACCGCCTCTCTCCTATGTTTGATCCAAATGGACAGTCCAACTTCTCAGCTCCCAGATGTTTCCTTCTGGAGGAGGAGGGGGTGCAGTGGAGAGTGGAGCATGAATGGAGACCAAACTAGAGACCAGGGAGTGGAGAAGGCCACTGAGTCTTCAGTGAGGATGTAATGAGAGGAAAACGGAAATAGTTGCAATGGAATCCAGATTGCAGCAGAAACTATCGAGGTTAGCACAAGGGTGGTGTTAGATTCTGAACTTAGTTGCACAAAATAGCCTCCTTTTGGGGTAGTCTTTCAAAGCAGAATAAAGATCTGGGGATGAGGTGGGGTGTACATGGGGGAACTATTTGAAGTCTCAATAAACTCTACCCTTAGCCCAGAAGTCCTGTGATAGGACAAACTGGCAAAGCAGTGCTTTCCCCATCTCCCCCTACGCTGAGAGAAGACTGCTTGGAAATGGGCTCTAGTTTCATCTGAAGCAAGGAATCAAGTCTTCGGAAAATGATTCTTTTGGGAAGTGGCTGACTTCTAGCTATTGCCAATGAAGATGTTAGAAGCAGCTAGAAAGGAGTAGTAGGGTAGACTAGGAAAGAGCTCGCAAAGGGTGTTTACTGCCTCATTGCTCAACCTATCCCTGGTGCTCAAGTTTCCTGTTTTCAGTTTCTACAAAGCCCTGGCACCCAAGCTGCTCTTGCCCGGACACGATGGTTCCTGGCCCCCCGGGAAGACAGAATAGAAAGACGCTTGAAGAAGCCACTCAGCGTGGGCTGGGCTCCTTGGCTGCTTCCTGGCTCTTTCCTGAGCAAGTTCTTGCAGTAACAAAAACCCAACCAACTCTAGTCCCACACCAGAGGGAAGAGTCTGAGTGGTTTAGTTTAGTGAGCCATCTGAAAACATGGAGCAAAAGAGGGTACTGAGACCCTGGGCAAGTCACTTAACCCTGATTGCCTCACCAAAAAAAAAAAAAGAGAGAGAGAAGAAGAAGAAGATACTGAGTGTCCTGCAACTTATCCCTAGAAACATCAGAGATTCATTCAGAGATGGGTACCATGTCAGCCTCCTACTCACCACCATCCCTCAAAGTTAATGGTCCAATCCTCATTCTCCCCGGGGGGAAGGACCAGGAGGGAGTAGGTAGAAGTTGGTCTATCCTCCCATCAATATCATGGATAAGCTGTATCTCCCAGTCCCAGGTACATGGTATACAAAGAACTGTGTTTTCAGGTACTCCGGCTAAAGGAACCCAGAATATTGACAGTGTCTTACTCAGTGCTTAATTGTTGGTTGATTGACACAAACTGGGGGCTCAGTCTTTGATCCTAGAATGTCCTCCCTTGGAATCCTAGGGTGATTGTGATCTCAAGGAAGTCTGAGCCCTCCCTAGGTCAGGAGCTCCCCAGCTGCTGGTTAAATACTCACTCCCTGGTCTCAATCCCTCTCTCTACCTGCCCAAGGTATGTCTGTTCAACCTCCCCAGGTGACCCTGGGAGTCGTTCTTTTGAGAGACTTGGCATGGCAGCCTGATTCCAGAGTTCCCCTCTGCTTGACTGTGGCTTGCGTTAAGGATCTCAGTATTCCCATCTGTTAAAAGGGGAGAATGTACCAGATAGAGTTGGTTAAGTTCCTTCTCTGGACCTCTTTACTTGTTTAGGGAACAGAAGGCTTTTAAATCATGAATAGGTGATTCTGGGCAGAGGTCATAGGCCTGGGCTCAGGATGGGAGTTAGGATATCTTCCAACTAGGGGCTAAACCATGTGACTGTAATGGTGACAGCTGCTGGTATTACTTCCTTTCAATTTTTGAAGCAGATATATGGTTCTGATGATTCCTCTTATGGAAATAGCTCTATCAGAGAATCTGAGCTTTAGAAAGGATTTCAAAATTCATTTAGTCCAATGCAGCCACTTTCCTTTTAGAGCAACTTCAAGTGTTCTTGAATAACTCAGAAATGAGAAACTCATTACCTCCTGACGAACTCATTTCATTTTAGGGCCTGCTATCATTTTCCATCCCCTCCCTCCCCAAGAGAGATCCAAAGTCTTTCAGAAGAAAGAAATGTTTTTTTACTGATGGTGCTCATATGATATTATAAAAATAAAAATAAATAACAAAAATAATTATTAAATATCCAGTCCAAGGGGCCGGCCCTCATGTTACATAGTAAGATTTGGATAAGCAGGGAGGGTAATTATCGAAGAGGAATAAGGATTTGGGAGAAACCTAGACATTCAGTGTCGGTCACAGTCATCCTGGCTCCACTCATAACAGGATTGAGGAGGGCACCTCAGGAGAGCAGGGGTAAGACTGGGACTGTCTCCGGGGGAAGCACCAGGTGCATGCCCACATCCCAAGACCAAAGAACATTTCAGTGCTCACACAGATAGTCACATTCAAAGCCATGGGCAGAGGGACACAAACATTCTACCTCCCAACTAGTCCACTGGGGGTACATAGACCCCTCCCATTATCTCACTAGGTTCCCCACCCCTGATGTCTATTTCCACACTGGCCATAGTCCCATGAACTCAGGGCCCTGAGTTCAGAGTTCAATTCATAATTGTATTTTGCAAACATTTGGACTCGGGCTCCATGGTGAAGGCGGGTTGTTCCACTGACTTCTTCTCCAGATACAGTTTGGGATTCACCATTAGTAAGTAACCAGATCTTCTTATGAGCCTAAAATCTCTGTGAAAACTCTAAAACATCTGCCTCTGACCCTGGTGACCACCTACCCCTCCCCCCCATCCACCCATCTTGGCCAAGAGGTCCAAGATAGCTAGTGCCTATGCCCCAATCTGAAGGTTAAATCTGTTTTTGTATTCCTTGGCAGGAAGTCCACATATAGAGAACATCGCTCTAGAGAATGTCTTCTCAGGGTCTTTATGCCTGATAGAGATGGCTCCGTAGCACAAATGATGACATCAGGGCAAGAGGGAGTAGCATGGCCTTCTCCTTCCTAAGCTTCCTAGGTCTCCTCAGATGGCACTGGGAAGACCTGTGTGGGCCTGGATCCAGGGTAGGAAGTGAGAGACACGAGTATAAACACCAGGCTTGTTCTTTTCGGCACAGCCAAGGCCCCAGCTCACAACGCCAGCCAGAGTCATATGGTCATCAACGGGGCAGACCAGAGGTCCACCTGAATCTCCCTGGGAAACAGACAAGACAAAGGTGAGTTCCTGGGGAAGAGAATCAGAGTTGCTACCCAGAACAGGGATGAGTACAGGCAAAGCAGAGAGCCTTGGAAGAGATGTGGAAGAGGGTACTTTACCATGACTTTTTATGAAGGCATATATTTTGAATGGCAGAAAAGTCCACTTCTTCATGTCATGATGGTATTTACTTTGGGGTAATTAAATCCCTTGTGTTTCAGTGAAGTCTCCGAACATCTACTGGACTTCAATACACAGGAGATATAATTTACAAACCTAACCTGGGCCTTATTCCAACTCTTTTATTTTTTTCATTTTTTTCTCTATCTCTTTTTCTGTCTCTCATTCAGAGAGAGACAGGGAGAGAGATGGGGGAGTTTCCCAGAGTTAACAGCCTTTTCTGACATTCTGGTCCTCATCCTCAAGGCTTCCATAACCTATTCCTTTTATTTATTTATTTATTTATTCATTTATTTATTTATTTTGGGCAATTGGGGTTAAGTGACTTGCCCAGGGTCACACAGCTAGTAAGTATGAAGTGTTTGGTCTGAGGCTGGATTTGAACTCAGGTCCTACTGACTTCAGGGCCACTGCGCCACCTAGCAGGCCCCCATAACCTATTCCTACCCTACCTGTATATCCTTATTTCCTGTTTCTCCCCAACATGAATTCTCTGCTCTAGTTGGGCCAAGCTCTTAGTGTCTTGCTACTACGGCACATTCATTCTTGCTGTTGAAGCTCCAGTCATGTTCTTCTCCTCTACCTGGAATGCCCTCTCCTGTCTCCTGACCATCAATCAACGAGTGTTTATTAAGTAGCTATTATGTGCCAGGTACTATGTTATGTGCAGGGATAAAAAATAAAAAATGAAATTATTCCCACCTGCAAGGAGCTGATGTACTCTTATCCAAACTATGCCTATTTATCAAGGCCAGCCTTGTCAATGAAGCCTTCTCTGATGACTCTGCCCTGCACTGCTCTTCCTCCCCTCTCAATCCCTTAATCATTTATAATCTATAACATACCATTTGACATTTAACATATTCTATCTTCTAGCTTTAGTCATTTTGTGGGTAGAAATCTTGTCTCCCTAACTAGATAATCAATTTCAGAGGTCAGGGATCATGTCTCATACTTTTGCATCCCTACAGTGCCAGGCACAGAACTGGTAATATAGAAGTTACTTTAAAGATATACTTATTGATGAAAATCTTGTAAGGCCTTTCATAGGTTACCAATCTCTTCTAGTTGCCATTCTAGGCTTTTTGGGCATGGAGGATACCAGAGGAGGGAGGTCTAGGGTATATGGAGGACCCCTCCTCCATGGGGATAGGTATAGGAGAGGTGATGAGGAAGCCTCAGTGAGAAGCAGGGGGAGGAGACAAGGACCTTTCCAGATCTCACCTGGCAGGCATCTGATGTCCACTCAGGATGGGCAGCACACAACATTTGGGGGGTGACTTCAGAGCCATAATAGTGAGGTTGTCGACACTGCCTGTATGAAATTGTCCTGACAACCGCCATTTTGAGGTACTCAGGATAGAGGTAGTCATCTGGGAGGAAAGTGGGAATAACAGCTTGAGTTAAAATATTTCTTTCTTGTTGGCCTTTCCTGACCTCTCTTCCCTCCACCAAAGCAAGACTCTCTTTCTCTGTCAGGGAGAGTACTGACTTCCTCTTCAACCCCAAAACAGCTATATGGGCCTGGGTTATTTCCATTGTCCTGTGGCTCCCAGAACCATTTGCTCTATCTCTTTCTGAAGCCCAAAAGCCTCCCAACCTCTCAGTGTCTGACTTTTTGACCTTCTCTTGCTCCGAGCTGAGAACCCTCCCCAGGCTTATACAGGTCAGTTTGCCTGGCTTGACCTGATGCCTCCTGGATCTCCCACCACCTCCCTTGCCCCAAGTGTCACTTACTCTGTTCTTCCAGTCCAAAGCCAGTGACCTCACACTCACTGCCAATGGGGATATCTTCATGTGCTGAGGGGAGGCAAATGGTCTGCACAGTTCTGGAGGGCTCTGCACATTTACCAGCTGTGGAACGGATCTTTAGCAGGGCTATGGAAAAACATGGGATAGGGGAGAATGAGCAGAGAGGCAGAATGACATAGTGAATAGGGCCCTGGATTTGCAGTCATAAGAACTTGGGTTCAAATCCTGCCTCAGACACCAACTAGCTTTATAATCCTGTGTACCTAAATCACTTAACCTCTATTGGTCTTATTTTCTTCTTCTGTAAAATAGGGGCATCTAAGTTTATGATCCTATGAATGGCAGACTCTAGGGAATGGTCAACTAAAGGCTTCCCAGCCCCTCAGAATCACACAATGTTAACCCCGGAAGGTATCTCAGAGCTCATCTATGCAAATATCTCATTTTACAGATAAAGAAACTGAGGCAAAGAAAGAAATAACCCTGCCTCCTGGCTTCCCTGAAGTCTCAGCTTAAATCTTTCTGCAAGAATCCTTTCCTTAATGCTAGTGTCTTCCCTCTGAGATTATCTCCAATTTATTCTGTATGTATCTTGTTTCTACATAATTGTTTGCATGTTGTTTCCCACTAGACCTTGAGTTTCTTGAGGGCAGGAACTATTTTTTTTCTTTTGGGCCATTTTTTTGTATGCCCAGGGCTTAGCATGGTGCTTGGCACATAGCAGATGTTTAATAAATACTTGTTGACTTATTGACTTGGCTAAGCTCATAGGTAGTTATAATGGATCTGGGATAAGAATCTGGTTCTCCTGAGTTTAAATCTAATTCTCTCCCTATTTATTACTCCATGTTGCCTACAAGAGCCAAACAGGAAAGGAGGTGTCTCTTTTTACACCTAGGTCAGATTAGATACCTTCTCCCCGAGGTCAGCTATAATCCAAGTCATGCCATGCCAGTTCAAAGGGAAGGAAATTTTGCTTCCAGGGGCCTTGGCCAGGCTATTTCTCTTCTACAGCTCTTTCCTCTGCTCCTACTCTCCAGACCAGGGCCAGAGAATGCTGGTCCTTCTGAAAAACCTAGGATCCCTTCTGGAGAGCTGCTTCTGCTATGGTTTTCACCCAGATGCCCACTTTGATGTTGTATGTCAGGGTCTCCAGGCAGCTCCAGGATCTCACTCCTCACCAAGACCACCTCCCAAGCCCATTTACCTCATGTCATTGTAGTGAGGGGGGATGTCTGTGTTACCCCAACATTCTCTCCCCAAGTGCTTCTCTCCTTGGACTCACCAATATCGTTGTGATAAGCGATGGCTCCGGTGCTAAAATTCTCATGTAAAATTAGCTCTTCAATTTCAAACCGAATCTCTCCAAGGCTCTCAGAGTTACGCTTTGACTGGCCCAGGTACAGAAAGTAGCTCTCCCCCTTTTTAAGTTTACTGTAGGGACAAGGTTGAAAAATGTCAAGACCCAATAATCACCGATTATGGTGGACCCCATTCCCTTCAGCCCTCAGGAGTCACCTGGCCTCACTCTACTCTTAGGGCAGTGATTATCACCCTGGAACTACAGAGAATCATGGCTATAGGGGAAGGTCCCTGTCATTGTCCTTGGAGGGAGGGGGATAGATTTTGGGGGTGGGAGAGGCAGGAAGGGGACATTGGAGTCATGGGTCAGGGAAATAATATGAACCTGTGGAAGTCTCTGGGGTGGGGAATCTAAGAAGGACTTACGGAAAGCAGTGTGCAGCGCTGACCACCCAGCAGGAACTGATGAGGGCACCGCCACAGTTAAAGGAAGAGCTGCCCCCTAAGTGGCTCCTGTAGATGGCAGCAAACCAAGGCTGGCTCTCGATGGGTGTTCTGTTTCCCCCAACAATCTTGAAGCGGGGAGTCATTGATTTTTGGCCACACTGGAATCCTCCTTGTTCTGTGTCCTTGACTGTGCCTCCTTGTTCTGTGTCCTTGACTGTGAGGACAGGGGCTTCATGATGGAGGTGTCCCGTGGCAAAGCAGCCCACTCACTGTCTTCTTCTTCTCTCCTCCCTATAGGTCCTAGGTCGCTAAGGGCCAGGCAGGACTCCACCCACGTCCCACTTCCCCCCACCCCTGGCTCCCTGCTCTTGGGTGGAAGTGACTGAAGGGTCAGTGGATCAGAGTCCAGTTTCAGGCTCTCATCACTCACCAGTGGGACACTGTGGCACCTTGCACTCCCGCATAAACCGACTCCTGCCAACCTGCACAAAACACCACGGCCGTCTCTGGTTGTTTGGGTTTCTGGAAATACATAGGAAGAAGCCAAAATATAGGAGGGATGTCATTCAACCCAACAAAAAACACAAGTGTTTAAACACCCTTGAGTGGGTGAGGCCCTGGGAATGAAAAGGCAAAAGTGAAATCATTCCTTCCTTCAAAGAGCTGACTTTTCAATTAGTGGAGCAGGGGGTGGGAGGCGGAATACAAAATGAACAAAGATAAGTTGTGGGGCAAAGGTGCAAAAGCACAGAGAGATCAGACAAAGAGCTTTAGAAAAAAGAACTGGAGGATCCCAAGGAAGATCAGCTGAGCTGGGCCTGGAAGGAAGATATGGATTCTGAAAGAAAGAGATGAATAGGCATGGGAGACAGCTAGTGAGAATGAAGCCTCCATGAAGCAGAAGACAGGATTGCTGGGCTTGGGGAATAAGAAGTAGCCCTATCTGTCTGTAATGCAGCCTTCCTGAAGAGGGGCAATGTCAAATTAGTCTAGAAGAGGTAAGACAGATCTGGATATCGGAAGGCTAATGTTCAGGTAGAGGAATTTGCATTTTTTCCCCCCTAGAGGCAATGGGAAGCTACCAAAGATTTTGAGCAGGGGAGTGACAGGGTCAGACTTTTAGGCGTCAAGAAGATTATTTTGGCAGGTGGGATATGGGATGGATTGAAGAAGGGGAGAGAGAATGGGAGCAAGCAGACCAACTACTTAGGGTGCTGGTTGCATGAATGGAGAGAAAGAAAATGCGAGAAATATTGTGAAGGCAGAATCAACAGGACAGAGCAACTGATTGGATATGGGATATGGGATGGGGGAGGTGAGAAGAGAGAAGAGTCAAGGATGATTCAGAGGATGGGAACCTGTGTGACTGGGAGGATAGTGGTATATTCAAGAGAAACAGGAAAGTTAGGAGCAGGGGGGTGGAGTTGGTGTGCTTCTAATCAGAAGTCTGTCCTCCTAGGCTCTCTAGAGAAGTGAGTTTCTAGCCTGCAGTCAGCCCAGCTCCCTTCCCTATGCCCCTCATCCCTTGGGATTTTCCCAGAAACTCTTATCCTGAGGCTCCTCAGCAAATAGCTGGTGTGACAGGCCCAGCCTAGGGCTAGCATAAGATGACCAACAGTCTTATAAAAACAAATGGCTGTAAGAGGAATTTCTGGGAAGAGTCATATCGAAGAGGGTACAGATGATACATTTCAGAGTTGTGTAGTGAACTAGGAAATAAAGAGATTTGCTCTCTAAAAGATTTATTGTTCGCAGGAATAAAGATTGCAAAACTGAAAAAAAAAAGCACATACTGAGTGGCTGTTTGAGGGGGATGGAGTAGGATTGGAGGGAGATTGGGGAGGGGGGAGAGATGCTAGCTGTCACTTCCTTCTCACCTGCAGTAATTGTGCTTCCCCAAACCCAGCTGTACTGCATCTGGTCGGTTGGCATTGTACTTTTGGGAGGCCAAGAGGGGTGAGTTCCACTTCAAACAAGTCTTGCCCCAGATGTCCTGGTTGACCATTCCTCGGTAAGAGTCACCGTTACCTTCATAGCATTTCTGTGAAATGTCTGAAGGATGAAATGGATATAAGGGGATACTGAGATAAGCTCGATGGGGAACAAGATATATAGTACAAGCAATTTAACCAAGCTTCCAGTTCAGGATGAGAACATAGGAGACTGGGAAAGGGTCTCCTCCAATCTTGCCCTGCCTCAAGTTACTACTCTGAATGTGTAGCTTTGTAGTAGAAGTGCTACTATGGCATTTCCTCCAAGACAGGAAGACCTGGGTTCAAGTTCTGTCTCTGACACATACTGGCTGTGTGACCCTGAGCAAGTCACTTACCCCCTCAGTGAAAGGCTCTAAGTTGCAGAGAAGATAATGATTATTGCTAGAGAGAATTTCCTTTTTGGGTACCTGGGAGTTCCTCATACCAATTAAATGACAAGTCTAGTCCCTAAGCCTAACTCATCCCTTTCCATTCCCTCTCTCCCCCAGAATCCCCTTCTGAAATCCCTGGGACAGCTTCCCCCCTAGCCAGGGCTTAGGGTTAAGAATCAGGCAGGACTCAGGTACCTATCTCACAGTGCTCCCCAATGAAATTTGCTGGGCAGAAACAGCGATGAATCTTGGAGAAGTACTTGTAGGATATGCACTTGCCATTATTCAAGCAGCCACAGTCCGCTGGGGATGGGAGAGATGTGGTCAGTGAAGGCAGTGGGAGGGGAGAAAATCACTGGAGGGGCTTTTTGTGGGGGAAAGTGGGGAGGGGCTTCTCCCAGTGGCCCCTCCTGGATGCCCATGTGGCAGAGGGCTATGCAGGGAGTAGCTACTCACATGAGTCAGATGCATCCTCCCGTTTTCTCCAAGCCTAAAAGAAAAAGGAATGAAAGGGGTAGGAGGGGGTCTCCAAGGGCTCTCTGCCCTTTCCCTTCTCAAATTAGGATGCTGAGATCCAGATTAGTTGGATTAGAGTTAAATCCTTCTTCCTCCAAGAAGCTTTCCCTGACAATTCCAAAATCAGCACCCCCCCCCACTGCTCTTCCTCTTCTAGATTTCTGTACCCCATTATCTGTAGCACACCATTTGGCATTTAACTACATGCCATCTTTTAGTTTTCATTGTTTCACGTGTGCTATAACTTTTAACATATGCACACACACACACACACACACACACACACACACCAGGAGGAGCTTTTCAGCAACCTCTATCTTATACATTGCAGACCTGGGATTTAACCCTTGTTTTTCCTTCCCAATTACTTCCCCTTCTTTCATGTGCAGTAGTTCCCTGAGAGTTTCTCTTCCACTCTATTTCCCTCCCTAAATTCTATTCAATCCCAAGAGCATTTATTAAGTGCCCATTATGCACAGGATACTGGGCTGCCAATTCTGAAATCATGGCCGGTTCCCACCTCCAGCTCCCTAGTTCTTTGCAGTTCCTCCCCTACCCTCAATTAGACTCTAGAAGCTCGCGCTTCCCAACCTCCAACCCCCACTGTTGGCCAGTGCGGGACACTCACTCTGCAGCCCAAGGCCAGTACACACAGAAGCAGAGAAGTGAGCAGGACTCTCATGGTGGATTGGGTGGGAAGGTGGCTTCTTCTGCTCAAGGTACTCAGTCCTGTAAGGGAAGGGAGAGTGAGGGTAAGAGGAGCACTGGGACCCTGCAATCACGGCGTAGAGTCTCTAATCGGGGGAGGTCCCTACTGCTGGAACCGCCGCCGTCCTACCCCCTCCACTGAAGGCAGATCTCCCAGACTACCACCAGCTCGGGTTGCTTCTCCCGGTCCTCAGGGCATCAACGTTTCTCGGTGTGGGAAGAAGCCAGGGCTGGGGATCGCCCGGAGGGCAGTGACTCAGCCGGGAGCCAGGCGAGGCCAGTGAAAATGGGTAGGGGGGTTGGATTGCCCACAGCTCGAACATCCCGGCCTGGCGAGCCCAGCCAGGGCTGCGGACTCACCGATCAGAGGCTCAGGGGGTGCGGGGGTCAAGCTCAAGTTCACACTGAGCGCGCCTCTAAGTGGTGATCTACTCCAAGTCTCAGAGTCTAGCTCTGCAGAGGCGGCGCTGCCTTATATTTGATTCCACCCTGCGCTTGGCCCCGCCCCTGGACCAAGATTTCCCCGCACTCTACCCCCGTTCCTTTCTCCTCTAGTTCCCTCCCTCCCTCCGCGAGCCCCAGCTCCCAAAGCAAGCCCTAGCTCCAGAAATACGCTTCTTCAGTAAGGCGGGGGGCAGGGAGTCCTGAGAATCTGAGCAAGGCAGGGAAGTTTAAAGAAGTCGTGAGATCTTGAGACAGAAGGCTCGGGTTGGAGTCTTGGTTAACTAGCTGTGTAATCGTGGGAGAGTCACCTTAAATTTTCGTCAATTTCCTCCTCTGTACTAAAAGGGGAGAGGAGGTTGTAATAACCTTCGATCTACTTAAATCAGACGGTTTTGTTGAGCAAAACAGTGGTAGAGACGTGAACTATTCATCATCCATCCTTGTTGAGAAAGTAAGTGGTTCTCCTAGCTGCACAGGTGAGGGCTAGGGGCTGCTGGTTAATGGAGTGGAAGAGTTATCTTAGTGTAGCCTGGATTAAACTCCTCCCCCACTTTCTTCCCCGTCTTTTTTAATGAGTTAGTTGACTCTTCTCTGGCGCCAGTTCAGCAGGTCCTCAGGGATCTAAACAATTTCTTAAAACTTTTATTAAGCTATTATATCCACAACACACGGGTTGTCATCACAGACTGGAAGGGACCTTGGAGATCATCTGCTCTAAATCTCTCATTTTACAGGAAGCTGAGGTTGGGACTTGTCCAAGGTCACATAGTAAGCAACAGAGCCTGATTTGAACCCAGATCCTCTGACCCCAAAGGGCAACTAGATGGCACAGTGGAAAGAGAGCTGGCTCTGAAATCAAGATGATTGATTCCTCTTCCTTAGTTCAAATCTGGCCTCAGATGCTTACTAGCTGTGTGACCCTGGGCAAGTCACTTAACCTTGTTTGCCTCGGTTTCCTCATCTGCAAAATGAGCTGGAGAAGGAAATGGCAAATCAAGCCAGTAATTTGCCAAGAAAACCCCAAATGGGGTCACAGAGACTTGGATACAACACAGCAACTTCTGACTCTTTCCGTTGTCCCAGGCTAGATACAAAACAATCCCTGCCCTCAAAGCGCATGCATTCCCCTGAACGTCTAGTTGTGGTAGGACGGTATAACATGAACACAGATAAACACAAAGTAATTTCAGGAGGGATAGAACCTTAACAACTGGGGGGAAAAGCTCCAGAAGGAGGTGATACCAGAGCTAAGCCTTGGAGAAAGACAAATATTCTAAGAGTTTGCAGAGTGGAGAAAGACCATTCCAGGCATGGGGCGGCTGTCTAAGCAAATACGGAGACAGGAAATGGCACGTCCAGTTTGGGGAGCAGCGAATATTCTTTTAGTCCGATCAGAGTGAGTGAAGGGGAATGATGTAAAATGTTTGGAAAGGTAGGCAGGAGGTAGATTATGGAGGGTTTTCATTGTCACTCAGAGGAGCTTGCATTTTATCCTAGAGAAGCCACTAAGGGTTTTTTTGAGTCGAGGAGAGACATGTTTAGACATATGTTTTAGGAATACTTATCTGGCAGTTGTGTGGAGGATAAATGGGAGAGTGGAGAACCTGTAAGAAGGGAGACCAATTATTAGGCTATTAATAGTCTAGGTAAGAGGTGACAAGTCAATCCAGGACCTTTCATTAGTGTGGCTACCCCTTCATCCTGCCCTACAATGTTTCAGGGCTGGATCGCTGTGTTTTGGGGTCTTAGTCATAGTGATTGGTTGTGGAGCGGCATAGTAGGACTTAATCTTCCTAGGTTCTGGCCATTTTTCCTGGTTGTTCCCACAAGTCTTTGGTGACCTTGGAAAACTGAGCCTCTAGATCTGGGTCAGTTCCTAAAAGGGCAGAAGAGGCAAGACAAAGAGGATGCAATTTTGATCAGCCAGGGCCAAGACTCTCTGCAAAGGGCTGGGAAAGAGGTACTTTATCTCTCTAACCATCTAAGCATCATAGATTTAAAAGTAAAATGAAGATTCAGCAGCAAAATGGGGATAATAATGGTGCCAACCTCAGAAGTTTATTTCGAGGATCAAATGAGAGAACTTTTGTAAAGACTTTTGTAAACCCTAAAATGCTCAGCTATTTTCAGTAGTATTTAAAGGAAACTTATAGACCACTTAATTCAGAAATTGTTAACTTGGGGTCTGGGAATTTGTTTTTTTTTAAAAATATATATTATGGTAACTGCATTTCGATAAAATTGTCTTCTTTCATGATTCTGTGTGTCTTGTTCTATGCTTTTAAAACATTATCCTGAGAGGGGTCCATAGACTTCACCAGAGAGTGCCCAAAGTGGGGTTTATGGCCAACAAAAAGATCAAGAACCCTTGATCTAGGCCAACTCTCATTTTACAATGCAATCTGTGACGTTGGGAAGGTGACACAAATAGGAAAGAGCTAAGCTGTGACCTGAAACCAGGCTCTCTAACCCCAAGGTCAGTGCTTAGTCCACTACATGATACTGACTTCTGTAGAGCAGTTTAGATAATAAATTCCCAGGATGCCAGGCCATTAGTAATGGTCCAAAAAAAGGTGAAAAAATATACAAATTCTTCCAAGTTCCAAGGCATATGATCTGGTGCCCTTTGGATAAAGTCTTGCTTAACTTGACCTTCTTGACTTGAAACCCAAGAAGACAGACAAAATTAGGGGGTAGTAGGACCTCAAGTTGTGAGTTCCTTTCCTGCTCATGTAAAAATGTGTATTTCCTGTTTGAATTCCATTCATCTATTTATCAAACTGTGGTCACAAGGCTCTTGTCACCGATTGATTGTAAATTAACATGATCAAAATGTAAACAGTACTTGCCCGAAACTATTTTAGTGGCACCTGGTTTTCAGGAAATTCCCAAAGGCCTGAGAAATTATAACTCTATAGTGATTCATGAAGATCCCCTAGCAGCCCTCATGACTCCAGATTACTTGGCTGCAGGCTGTCATGCTGATTTTGTAGAGAAGGAATGAGCTCATTTCCTCCTGGTCAAAGAGACATTGAGACCGTTATGCTAGTCCTCCCAACCCTCTCCGTTCTTTTCTCTCTTCTTTGAGAAGCCTAGATTTTCCTAGTCTCTCCTTGTGGTCTTTATTTTCCAATTATCTCTGGTCCATCCTAAGGTCTCCAAGCCCCTTCTATAGGGCAGAACAAAGTATTAGGATTGCAAGCTATTTGAAGGCAGAGACCATGTCATCCTGCATAACAACCAGCACCATGCCTTGCATATAGTAATTCCTTAACAAATTCTTGTTGAATGGAAGAATGAATCAATATGGACAGTGGACTCGTAGCACTCTTTGCCCTGCCACTGGCTGCTTGTGGTCCCTGGGAGGTCTACTTCCCTCCCTCTACCACTGTTTCTCCTTGGTAAAGACCACTAACCTATATCTGTGTAGGACTTCACAATTTTTCAAAGCATATTCGTATGCATTATCACATTTTATCTTTATAACAACCTGAGGAGTTAGGTAGGACATTTTATAGTTGAAGAAACAAAAGCTTATTGGAGTTAAGGAATTTACCCTAAGGCCATGCACCTAATCTTGCGCTCAGTGGATATTTGAAGAACAGGCCCTAGTCTTGACTTTGACAGTAATCCTCCCTTATGACAAAGAAAAACAGTTAAGAAAAAAACATCTCATGTTTCATTATAGTTTTCACAACTACATCTGACCACATCTCTCTGCATTGAGGAACTGTGTGACTTTGAATAAGTCGATTATAAGTAGAAAGCCGTAGAGAGAATTCTCAAGTATCTCTAAAAGTCTATAATTTGAAGTTATGAAGCTAGACATGGCACGTGGGTCTTTTGATCACCAGTCTGGCAAAGTACCATGGTGCCCTCTATGCAACTGACACAAAGAGATTGAAGCCTCATTGTCCAGAACCATTTGAAGACAGAGGCCAGAGGGGTTTAAGATGAGAAGACATCATGGAACAGGAGAAAGTGAATGGACTCCTAATTTAGGGGACCTGGGGTCAACAACTCCCCTCCTTTGATGGTTACTACCTGGGTGATTTGGGGTGAGTCACTTAACTTACCTCAGTTTCCTCATCTGTAAAATGAGGAGTTGGACGAGATGCCTCTGAAGTCTCTTCCACCTATATATTTACAATCCTATGAGGTGGCAATGGAGCGATTTCTTTCTTTTGTAAAATTAGTGTTTTATTGATTCCCTTTTTTTCCATCATAGTCATTTCTGGCTATACTACCTTCTCCCCAGTGAATCTTTCTGTGTAAGAAAATAATTTAAGCAAAAACCACTGACACTTCATATACATCTGTCAGCATGTGTAACATCCTACACCCATAGTCCCTCACCCCTCCAAACAAAGGAAAGAGGTGAATTTATCATTTTTTTCCAGTTTTCTTTTTCCTAGCACCTTAATTCTACCTGCTGAACAGAGAAGTCTTGGGGTATGGCTGGAAGTACCTGAGAGGCCCTATATTGAAGACTGAGTTATATGCTAGAGAGGTATGAATATTAGGACAAAATAAGGCATCTCCTTCTGACTCTGTTACTAAGCGGCTATATGACTTTGGGCAAATCACTTATCTCTCTGAACCTCAATTTACCTGTTTGGACTAGCTATTCTACAATGTTCTTTCCAGCTAAAAAAGTCTATGATTTTAAGTAGACATTGAATATTCCCTTGTGACAAAGAAAATCTAAGAAAAAAACGTGTTATCAGCTATGAATGATTCAGCTCTTCTCAGCAACACAACAATCCAAGACAAGTACAATGGACTCGTGAAGGAAAATGCTGTCCTCATCCAAATAAAGAACTGATGGACTTTGAATACAGATCAAAGCATATTTTTTTCACTTACTTTATTCTTTTTCATGATTTTTATCCTTTTCACCTGTTTCTTCTTTCCAAGCTGTGACTAATATGAAACCATGTTTTACATGATAGCATATGTATAATCTATATCAAATCGCCTACTATTTTCAGAAGAGGGCATGGGAGGGAGAAAACTTTGGAAC